AAAGTTTATTGCGCCCCGGGCGGACCTCACAGACCCAAGGTGGGGGTCAGTGAAGCCGCGCCCATAGTTAGGGGGAAGCAGGGTTTTATAGGGTGAGGAGAGGTCAGGTGGGTAGTTGGGCTCGTACGGCGGGAAAAGTTTGTAGGGCAGGTAGAGGTTCTAGTTTGTAGGGCAGGTAGAGGTTCTTTGTCTGAGATGAGACTCGTAGTGGGAGGGGGGAGGCTCATTGTCTGAGTCCTCCAGGCAGGTATCCACATTCCTGCCCCCCAGGTGGGCTTACTGGTTGGCTCCTGCATTCCGGCCTGCTGCATGGACCTTTCAAGCATATTTGTCTGTTCCCATGAACATAGAAAGGGAAATTTTCTCAGCCCTAACCTCATCATGATTTTTAAGGAAGGCATGTACTTGGTCCTCATATTCCATGTGAAATAATACATACATTGCTGAAGGAAGAACAGCCTTGGCAAGATTATGCCAGTCATAAGGGGTCATCCAGGTGGCTGATAATATGTCAATAATTTGATAAATATAAGGGGAGTTATGACCCGTTGTCTGAACAGCTAACTGTAATTTTTTAAGAGTTTTTATGGGGATGGCCTCCCATGCAGGGCCTTAATCAGCGCGAGACAAAGCCGGAGGTCCGGCAACGGGAAAAGTAAATGAAAAATCTCCTTACTGGCCTTTTTTGCTAATCCTAAAATGCCACCTAGGGGCCCTTGATGGGCTTTGATATGATTAGGATTATTATGTAATGCAATCTTAGGTTTGGTAACAACTGGAAAAGGGTTAGCGGGTGGGCGGGAGGGTTTATCATTTTTGAAAGTTAATTTATCTAGCATTTCAGTATATTCATGATCATTAAACTCATCCTCTGACTGGGAAAGGGATTCCTTTGATACGGGAGCAGAGGCTTGAGTAGATCATTATTGTTTTTAGGATTATCCTGAACTTCATCCTGTTGGCCTTCCCACAATTCTGCCTCAGTGGCATCACCCAACAAATCTCTAATTTGTACCCACAAGGACAGAGCCTGTCTCAGAACCTGAGATGGTCCATGAAGGGCATAAAACTCTCACTTCTTTTCCTACTTTCTTCCAAGTTTCCAGTGACAAACTACCTTCTTCTGGAAACCACGGGCATACCCGTAATATAAATTTATAAAGTTGCAGTAGAGCTTTCTTATTTACTTTAATACCTCGTGTTTCAATCATATTTTTTAATATAGATAGAAAAAGATTTTTTTTGGTCTCGTGGTGCTTTCGTTCACTCAAGCAAAGATTTCTTTCAACTGTGCTGTCCGGCCCGTGTCCCTCGCGGGAACTTGCGGAGGCATCTTAGCTAAGGTCTGTCCGTATAAGTCCCGGACCAGGCTACTCGGAAGAGCAGATGACCGTTATGCCATATGACGTTCCTCCACGGGAATCGCGGGTGCAGCCCACTCAGACTCCGTAGACACGAGGCCGTGGAGCCGTATTCATGCACTCTCACACACACACAGCACCACGAGCATTCACTCTTAGAAAAACTTCTCACTATCTTGAACTGATCATCCTTTATCAGCGAGCTCCGGACGCTCCAGTGAGGATCCTATCCCTGACTGTTTAAAAGAGGGTATTTTAAGGGAATCACATTCACACTCACACACACAAGAAGGGAGATAGCTTACCCAACACGATCTCTCCGTTACTCACCTCTTCTTTGGGTGGAAGACACAATGAAATGAAATGAAATGAAATGAAATGTCGGGGCCCCACGTTTGGGCGCCAACTGCCGCGGACCAGCACAGCAGTAGGCAGTAGATGATGAGGCCACCTCAGGGTTGAGAGCAGCGTGTAGGGTGGTCAGGGCGTCGGCGAAAGAAATGACACACAGACACACTTCAAGAGTGAAAATCTGAGTGTAATTTTCTCTAAATTTGTGACCAGTATATATATGTTTTCCAAAAGCACAGGAATGAATATCAAGGAAATCAGCTTGCTCATGGGCTCAGTCTACCACTATCAGGGAGGTGATCTACATAACAAGCAATGACCATTATAGAAGAAAGAAGGAAGTTTAGAAAGACAAATAAGGGATTAAAGTTTGTAGTTCTAGAAAGACGGGGGAAAAGATTTTTAGCATTCTTGTAGTGGTTCTTGGTGGTCGTTATCTATTGATAAGCTTCTGCCTTTTCAGGGAACTTCCGTTGCACTTCCTCTGCTTCAGGCTGTTCTCCCCCCGCGCGCTGGTTGCCCAGCCGGATCTAGGGACCTTGGCGAAAGCCATTCCTAAAGATCACTGCGGGGGGAGGTGCAGCAGGTATGTAGGGTTTTGCTGTTCTCCCGCTGCGCGCTGGTTGCCCAGCCGGACCTAGGGCCGGTTAGCCCTAAAGGTCACTGCAGGGGGAGGTGCAGCAGCCCTTAAATATGTTTAAATCAAAATAATTTGAACCAAAGGCTCTGAAGTCTAAATTCTGAAACTGTTGATCATATTGAATACCACTGCCAACATTTAATGCCCTTTACCACAAATAGAACCCAAAAGAGAAATGGGCTTTATAAATTAATAAACTTAAAATATTTCATATTACCAAATATTTGTATTAAATGGTAGCTCCATGTCCTGGCTCTATGTGACATGTAAACATTTTCCTCCCTGTGTTGAGTGGGTCTCAGATTGCACTTCCCACATACAAACAGGTCTTGGTGATCATTGTTGAAGTTGCTCTCTCAGTAATGGTGAAATGAATGTTGTATTGTCTTTGCTGACATTCCCAAGCCCACAGAAAGCATAAAGGGAATGCAAGGAAATAGGAAATAGGAAACAATAAGGAAAAAAAGAAAATCAGAGTAATATGTGAAAAACTTGTTTATCCTTGGGTCATGACAGAGGGTGTAGCCCTGGGGAGGAAGTTCACCATTCCTTGCGTAGAGCTAGCACATTGGCAGTATAAATAGCTCAGCACCCACGACAGTGATGAACGGCTTGTTTGAATGTAGCAGTGGTATTAGTGAGGACGGTTTCCTTCCAGGAAAGAGGTCAAAGAAGCGTCTAAGTTATATATCATGTCTGGTGCCTTTCTGCCAGGAGATGTTGCTGACACCACTGGTTGCAGTACCAAATGTCATGGCAAACAGGACAATCTTGATTAGTCAGCCAGGAAGATCTTGCTCTGAGTCTGCTTTTTTTTTCTATATTTCAAAACAGCCCTCTGTCACCCTCATATTTGACTCCTGACCCAGGATGATTTTAATGCTTGCCACCTATTTACATTTCAGGGTGTCGTAAGTAATGAACTTGTGTTACTTAAACCACTTGCAAACAAAATGTAATAGAATTATGGATTAATTTACATGGAACTTTTTTTTTTAATAATTCTAATTTCCACTACTTTCAAAGCAGCAGTGAACTAGAAAATAGAACAAAGTCTGGGTAATCTGTGGAACAACTAGACTTAAATTTCCAAGCTAAAGAGTTCCCAGTAATACATTTGGAACCACAAAGTCTGGAACAAGTGGAATTAGTTAATGACTTCTTAGTGGTTAGTAATTCAAAATCCTGCCTTTAAAAAAAAAAAACAAAACCTTTTTAGTTGACTGATCCTCCCCAGATGTGATAATTATAAAGTGGCCTAGAAACTGGGGTTCAAACTTTGGTGAAAAAGTCCCTCTAGGCTCATCACAAGCTAAGCAGTGATACCCGATTACAGGAAATGAGCCTGACATTTGCCTGTTTATATCTTTTATGTGTGTTTGCAGTTTAAGTTGCCTTATCAGTATATACAATCAAACAGGACTTTTCAAAAGCATTGTGGGAACAATTCTGTCCCCTCCTTCTTTGCAAGCCGATTTTTATCATATCTTTTCCAACTCCCACATTTGGAAAGCTTCAAACCTAGTCGAAACAGACCCTATTACCATCTTCTCCATTTTTCCATTGAATCAGCATGAGATTCAGTGATGAAAAAAAGGGAAACATTCTCTTCTTACTGAGACCTAAATATAAACACAGCCTGCAAGTGGTGGTGTGGCCACTGCTTAGTTTGCTAAAAACTGCTAATGCTTTGGGATACTGAGGGGACTTCAATGACAGCAGAGTAAAACTATCAATGTAAAGATAGACTGCACCCAAAGTTTAGCTACTTATTGAACCTCTTTAAGACATATTCTGTCTCCTTACAGTGGTGACTGATTAACACATGCATCTTTTAAAAGTCAAATTCTGTATCTAGTTACATCTGCTTAAGAAAAAAAGAAACTTAAAAATAGTTTTGCCACTGTTCAAAGAAATATTAAATGTACACCTTTTATCTTGGGACACTCATTGCACTGGACAAATATCTATTAGCTTTCTTACTTGCCTTTATATGAACTCTCAACTTCCTTAGATCTTGCTGCTTCTCACCATTAGCCATGCTTTTAATTCATCCTCATGCCCACCCTGTTCAGCCAGTGAGCATGCAACGAATGTACACTTACTGTAATATTACTTAAGAAATAAGCCCAAAAGAAGATCAATTTGCTGCCAAGACAATGTATGGCATGATGCCTTCCAGAGCCAAAAACAAATGCCTTTTCTATTATTTGTTGCTCATGGATTATTTGTGCCAGTTCACCTCTTTATTAGCATGGAAAATCAGGACTTGGCTGTGCTATCCTCTCCCATATGATGGCCGATAAACATGATGCACAGACACGTTAAGGAATTTGTTCAAGGTAGAAGCTGGAAAATGAACTCAACTCATTGCCTCTTTGGTTTAGCTATGGAAACAAAAGTATGTTAGCTTCTCTAAATATCTACAGTGTTCTCAGATAGGAGCTTTCCTCATAGAAAGGTATGACATTACTTTTGATGATAGAGGATGTTAGCAGTGCATTTACAAAGGTTATGATTTTGTAGATTGACTATGCATGCCATTGTTTTCTGAATGACTGGCTTAGACTTTGTGATATACAGAATGTTTTTATGATCATATATTATAGTAATGTCTAATAAAATGTATTTAAATCACTGTGTTTTAGTTCTAACAAGGACAACCCAAACAGCAATTTTGTGAGCCTGCAAATCAACGTCACTGCTATAGCTCAAGTTGAAATAAGAGGGTAAGTAGTAAACAAGGAATTTTAGTAGTTTTTCCATAATAAATATATCTTTCTATATGTAAGAGTTATGATAAAATGTTCAAAAACTAAATTTCCTAATACTTAGAAATCACAATTCACTTTGGTTATAAATTTTCATTCTTTCTACCCATCATTAGCCTTCTATTGGAAAGTAGAGTAAACCCTGTATGAAAATTAACACTAAGGATATCAATCAAAGCACTTTATAAAGAGATCACTTTATTCCCCAAACTGACAGTTGAGTAATCAACTATAAAAACTAGTGATAAGAAGCAAGATAAAATAGACAACCTTGGGATTGCCTGAAAGTCTCACTTCATCAATAATTATGAAGGCATAATGAAAATCCAGCCTGCCCATACCACCTCTTGAGTTTAAGAAATGGCTGGCTTCCAGGTATGATAATTAGTGAGATCTACATTCTGTATCTTTTTCCTTCTGTCCTATTCTTTGATGAGGTTCTAATACACAATAGAGAGACAAGAGGAGAGTAGTCAGGTAAAAGATTTAGAATAACAACTATCTGAAAATTCATGTGGGGGTGAAATGTTAGAAACTATAAATGGACTGCATGTATTTATTTTGCATAAGTGTGAACTTCATTGATCTTATAATTCGTGTTTCTTCAGAACAATTAAAGACTTGGCGAAAAATGTAAACTGGTATTGTGGACTGAAATGTCACTGAGATTCTAGAAATCTGGGTTTTATTTCCTTTCCCATAGATCCTGTGTGATTCATACCCCTCCAGGATAGCAACTGTAATGTTTGCACTCACATGTCACCAGGAGGGCTTTTCTTGCTGGCATCTGTTGCTCTCAAAAGGAGTTGGGGGAGGGATCTCCCTGCTGACCTGGCACCACCGAGGTGCCACCTAGTGGATTAAAGAATAATAATGCTGCCTAACATCTATCAATACTTCCTATGTGTTAACACATCTTAATACATATGAGTACCTTACCTGTACAAGCAACAGAATTATAGCACAAGGAGTTGAAATTTACACAACCAAGATGTGGAAAGCTAGAATGAAGCACTGCCAGCCTGCCTCAGGGGCACGTTCATATGTCCATGTTATACTGCCTATGAGGAAGACTTCTTTGAATCTTATCGACATATACTCTTAATTTATGTATGCATCTGTGATTTTTTTCATTCAAATAATATTTTCAACATCTACCCACTTTGGTACATGTGCCTATAGTTCACTCATCTTATTTGCAGAAGGGTATGACATTGTAAAGCTATACCAAATTTTCAAGAGTAGAATGGTTCTACTCTTGAAAATCTGTAGGTTACTCTTTTTTCCTTTACAAATTTTCTTGTACAAATATGCTGGTACATATGTAGAAGAAGTATCAGAGGGATATAGGTGTAGAACTAGAATTTCAGGATTGGAGAGTGAACACTTATTAATTTTACTCAATATTGATAATACCAAACCATTTTTCAAATTAGTTATTTCAAAGTACAGTCCCACAAAAATGGATATAAGCTTCCATTGTTCCACATGAATAGGCAGCTCTCATGTGGTCCAATTTTTAATTTTGAGTCAATATGATAGATAGGAAATACAACGCTAGCTGAAAATTGAATTTGTAGTTTCCTGATTCTTAAGTGAGTAGCTTTTTTGTGTGCTTGTTGACAATTCACATTCAGGGAAATTTCTGTTTTGTTTTGTGCACATATAACTGCTAAGAGGCTTGGCTTTTTCTTACTAGTTCATAGGGATTCTTTTTATATTATAGGTGGTAGACATTAATTCTTTATCAGTGACACGTACTGCAAATAACTTTTCACAGCCTATAGGATTTAGACCATTTTTAAAAGTTAGGTTCATTGAGGTATAAATTGCATAAAATAAAACCCACACTTTTTGGGGATGTCTAATGTGAAGAATTAATGACATTGAGGAGATTCAACATAAAACAGTCCCATTACCCCCAAATAGTTCCTTCACCTCCTGTATAGTCAAACCCCCACCTATCCATAGGCTCTGGCAACCATAATACATTTTCTGTCACTGTAGCTTTGTCTTTTTAAGAAAATCATGTAAATATACTCATACAGAATGTAGCCTTTGAGTCTGGCTTCTTTCACTTAGCATAGTGCATTTGAAAAAATCCATGATCTATGCTCTTGCATGTGTGAGTCATCTATTTTTCTCTCTCTTTCTTTATTCCTCCTTCCTCTCCACCTCCTTCGTTTCTTTCTTTTGCCAAGAAGTATTCCCTAATACAGATGTTTCGGGAATTGTACACCCATTCACACAAGTTGGTAAACATTTGGTTCCAGTTTGGTGCTATTATATTCAGTATATTATCATGTTATAAGCATTCACATGCAGGTCTTTGGACATTTGGTTTTACAAATGTTACTGAGCTGGATGGCAAAATAGATCTAACTTCATAAGAAATTGCTGTAGTGTTTTTCCAAAGTGTCTGTATCATCTCCATTTGGTATTACCACCAGCAACACACAAGAGTTTCAGTTGTGCCTCATCCCTGCCAGCATGAGCTCTGTGTTTGTCTGTTCTTTGTCATTCTAGTAATTGTGTAGAAAGAAGTACCTCTCTAAGGTTTTAATTAGTATTTTCCAATGACTAATGATACTGAACATCTTTTCACTCTTTATTTGCTCTAAGTATCTCCTTTTTTGGTAAAGTATCTCTTTAAAAATGTTTTTCATTTATTATTGGGTTGGTTGTCTTGCTGTTGAGTTAAAAAAGTACCTTATATATTCTGAATACAAAATTATTTATCAGATAAATGTCATGCAAATATTTTCTCCCAACTTATGGTTTGGCTTATTTTCTTAAACAGCTTTGTTCAGAGAGTAAAAGTTTTAAAATTTGATGAAATCCAACTTTTAAATGCTTTATGGTATGTGCTGTGTGTCCTCATTCAAGGTCATAAGATTTTCTCCTATAAATTTTATAGCTTTACATTTTGGCCTATGATTACTTTTTAAGTTAATTTTTGTATCTGGTGAGCAGTAGGGGAAGAAGTTCATTTTTACATATGAGTATCCAGTTGTTTCTGTGCCATTTGTTGAAAATATCATCCTTTTCTCATTGAATTACTTTGGCACCTTTGTTGAAATTTAGCTGACCATAACTGTGGGTCTGTTTCTGTAGTTTCTATTCACTATATTGATCTTCACCTGTAAGTCTTGAAATGCAGTCATGTATCTGGAGATCTTGGTAAACTACAAGCTTTAGCTTTAATGTTAATTGATTTCTTAGAATTTTCTACAAAATTATTACGTTATCTGCAAATAAAGACAGCTTTATTTCTTCCTTCCTACTCTGTGTGTGCAAAAGTTTAGCCAACTATAAAGTTAGAGAAGACATTCCCCACAAAGAATTATTCTCACTTCTCCCATCAATGGCAGATTTGGTTAGATCCAAAATCCACCTTCAACTTTGATAATCTATTTAGAAAAACTCAAAAACTCATTAAAAACTATTATATCCATGTTAGTTTATTTCAAGGAAAAGATACAGGTTAAAATCAGCCAAAAGTAACACTATCCAAAAACTAACAAATGTGTAAGAAAATAAAGAAATATTCAAATAAAAAAAAGATGCAGTATATATATTCTATATATATGTTCAGTATATTATGTTATAAGCATTTGGTTTTACAACCATATATATATATATATATATATATATACACACACACACATATACACACACATAATATATATACACACACATATACATGATGAAATACTATTCAGCTAAGAAAGAGAGGATTTTTTAAAAAAAGGATGAAATCTTGCCATTTGCAGTAACATAGGTGGAACTGGAAAGGAGAAAGAGAAATAATCAAGAAAAAGACAAACACCAGATGATTTCATGCATATGTTGAACATAAAGAAACAAAACAAAGGTACTGAAACAACCAAATCAAAACAAACTCCAGAAATCCCAATGCAGAACTGAGGCTACCAGGAGGGGAGAGTGAAAGGTCTGGAGTAAATGGGGGAGGTGATGCAGGATGGAGGATTATGGGTGGTTTGGTGGTTGGTGTGATGTGGTGATGTACATCTGAAGAGGAGTGACCCTATACCCCTACATCAAATACAGTGTAAACCAGCATTATCTCAAACAAAAATAACAAGTTAAAAATAAATGAATAAATGAAAAATAAAAGTCAACCAAAGGAAAAAGTACATAAGTCGGAGTCTAGGGAGATCCCAAACCAGGGGATTCGGTTCTCTTCTGTAGCATCAGGACATGTTACTTTTCTGCTGTTGGTATATAACATACATGGAATATCCCCAAGCTGGAAGACCCACATCTCTCAGTTCAGAGACTTTATTGGCACCCCATTACGTAAGCATGACTAACTGACTGGATGGCTGATTAATGCATCTGATCTCAGTCTCCAGGTAGACTGATATGATGGGACCAAACTTCCTATCCAAATCATACAGTTGGTTTTTCTGATGCAATCAAACCCTCCCCTACCTCAAATCATAATGTTAGAACATCCATTGTGAACCAAGGCCCCCAGGCACACTGAGAGGACTTCTTCCTGTCAGGAATAGAATTTCTGGACCTCAGAGGTTACCTCCCAGAACCTCAGGGCAAAGGCCAGACCTCCTCTTGGACAAAGTTAAATTGTTTACTACAAAACTATGCCTTTTATTTCTTTTTCGTCCCTTCCTGCACAGACTAGGACTGCCAGTGCAAGACTGTATAGAAGTGGTTCCCTTAGTTCTTCTATGTAGAAATTATATCACTGATTTTAGACCACTCTGCTTTTTTTTTTACATACACACTTAATTAGTGCTGTAAATTTCCCTTTAACACTTGCTTCAGCAGCTACCAAAATGTCAGTATGTTGGGTTTTATTATAAGTCAGCTCAAATATTTATTTCCTTTGAGATTTCTTCTTTAACTTATGAGTTGACTCGTGGGAAATAACTTGTTGATTTACAGATATTTAGAGTTAATTTAGATGTT